GGGGGGGGGGGGGGGGGGGGGGGGGTGTACATGCCCCCCCTGCGATCAGTCCTGCCAACCGGGGGAGGGGGTCCTGCATCCAATCTCATGGCCCGGGGATCAGTCCTGCCAACCGGGGGGGGAGTCCTGTATCCAGTCTCATGGTCTGGGGAGAACCCTTGCAGCTGATCCAAGCACAGCCAGTCAGGGGGTGCAGCGGCACTCTCAGGGGGTGCACATACTCCCCCGTGCACCCCCTATGCATTGCCACTGCTCCACTGGACTCTCTCCAATTTGTCCACATCCTTTCTGTAGTGGGGGCCCAAAACTGGACACAGGACTCCAGATGTGGCCTCACCAGTGCTGAATAGGGGAGAAAAAACACTTCTCTTGACCTACCGGTAACACTCCTATCAGTGCAGCCAAGTATGCCATTAGCCTTCTTGGCAACAAGGGCACGATGCTGGCTCGTATTCAGCTTATTGTCCACATTAACCCCCAGGTCCTTTTCTGCAGAGCTGCTGCCCAGCCAGCCAGCCCCAGCATGCACCGGTGCATGGGATTGTTCTGTCCTAAGTGCAGGACTTTGCACTTGTCCTTGTTGAACCTCATGAGATTCCTTTTAGCACAATCCTCCAATCTGACATCTCATCTTGTTGACCCTATTAAAATGCATGTAGCACACCACATAACCGTTACTGTGAAGAAGCACCACTGCTGGAATGATAACATGGCAATGAATTCATGGCACGTTCATTACAGTGATGTGCACAATTAAGCATAAGTTGTACCAGATAGTGGAGAATAATTCTTCCCTAATGCTTAATTCACTTCTGTGCTGTTAAATTCAATTGGAGAAGCCTAAAATTAGGGCTGTGTGAAACCCATTGGTCTCAGTTCACAGGGATAAGAGCAGATTTGATTTGCATGAATTCATACCCCCTGAGTTTTGCTGTGAGTTTTGAGTAGAACCTAAAATCAAAACTTCCTCAGCCATCACAAAGCAAAACCCTAAATCAATCCCAGATGACTTGAAAATAGGCCAGGTTTTATTCAAAAAGTTTGTGAACTTATTATAAAGGGAATAGAACTGCAATGAGATGAATATAGGTTGAGTTTGGAGTTTGTGCTGAAGTGGGTTTCAGAGTTTTGTTGTGAACATTTTGCATAGCTCTGCATGAAATGTTCTGAGAAAGCAAATGCATATGCATCACTGAATTCTTCACTGTCCATCAGGCCTACCCAGATGGACTCCTGGAAAACACTTGACAAGCAGTCTTGCATTGGATAAGCGGCTCTTCCTATCAAGCAGCTGAACTGAATTTTTTTAAAGCCACTATAAAACTATCTAAGCAAGGTCCAAAACCTTCTTCTTAATATATATAGCAAATACAATGTATAAATAGTATTCCCAGACCAACCTTTAATATTGGTTTTATAGTTTATATTTTGCCTTGATCTTATAAAAGTTCGCTGGGTCCATAAAAAGACTACATAGATCAGCGTGATCCTTGAATAAAGAACAAGGGAGAACACTGTTTGCCTTAGAGTCAGGAGAGATTTATACGGCATCATTCAACTATGAGCCTGTGATCTCTGGTATAATAGCCTATTTATTATTTAGGGTCTGACTCCTAGGCTTCCCCTTAAATATTTGGGACAATTCTGCACTGGCTTATAGCCTTTAGAGCTGTACTGAAGTGAATGGGGTTGCCTGGAAGAGGTAGATTTTGCTGCTCACATTCAAGCCCAATCCTGCATGAAGCTGTGTACCCTCAATGGGGGTTGAGTTTACTTGGTATCCATCATGCACCACTCTGCCCCTTGCAGGATTAGACCCTTGTTATCTGCAGTGGTGGTACACAGTAATGATGACCTGGGATATCTCGGTTCATGCTTTCTGATTAACAGCCCTCTCTCTGTTGCAGCGATTCCATATCATGTCACACTCACGACTGGCATAGAGCCCGGCGCGAGCACTGACAGCCGAGTTTACATCATCATTATGGGGCCGCAGAAAGTGCGAACAGACAGGCTGTGGCTGGATCTTACGGAAGATAAGGATGAGTTCGCAGATGGCTCCGTAGAGAAATTCTCTGTTTGGGGAGCAGATGTTGGGGAGATTAAAAACGTGGAGGTATGGTATGAAGGAAATGTGCCTGCTGGAGGCATAAGGGACACCAGGCTGGAAGGATGGGATGTATTTGTGTGTGTGTGCAGTAGAATAATTATGGGGAGTAAGGAGGACACCAGCCCTGGGTGCCAATGTAGAGAGGACACCAGCTGCTGGTCCAGCAACCACCTCCATCCCACATCACTGCTCCCCAGGGTGCAGAAATTGCTAGTAACGTTTGTGTGTACATAAGCACATGCTCTTTTAGTTGGAGGTGGGCAAAAGCGGAGCTGCTGATATGCAGAATGAATTGAAACTGGGGCTTTCCAAGCAGACAAAAAGTCCATCCAAGCCAGAAGCAGAAGATTAGCCCCTTCTGGAAGGATTCTGGAGCCGAGGGCCCAGTTCGTCCCACTGCTAATTGTGCTAAAAATCATCCATTGTTCTTCCATGAAATGGCTGTCTTAACATCTTCAAAAATGAATTCTCTTTTATCAGGCCCGCTCTTAATTTCCTGACAGGTGTGGTAAATTTGCTGGGGGCACAATTCTGTTCCAGTCATTTCCCCTGTTGATTTTCACAGCACTTCCATTTGGGTTTCATAAACTGCCTGCAGCAGGAAAAGCTTCTTGTATAATCTAGCTAAACATGGACATTATTCTTTCAGCTTGGAAGACCTAAACTCACTGAAGGAAATTCATCATGGCTCATAAGTAATGTTCACAGATAGTGTTAAAACCATTTTTACCGTGGCTCAGAGCGACCGAATTTTCATAGAAACTCCATCACTCCGCTCAAACTTAGCACGAGTCTTCAGACCCTCTGTATGTATCATTGCTGCTTTGCAGGGCCTCTGCTGTCTCCTAAAGCCTTTCTCTGAGCCTGTGAACATCACAGCTCATAGGATCTGAGGACTTCCTTACTCAGTCTGTTCCCAGCTGCTGCTCTGGACTTTCCAGACATGTGGCAAAACCAGCTTTTTGTCCAGAAGGAGAGGAATGCAAGAAATATGAAAAGAGTGAGACATGCTAAATAGATTGAGAAATCACTCTGTAGCAGCAGATGATATGGTTAGAGGGAAATTGTTCCATTAACTTTCATTCAAGTGATGCTTTCTGATACCTTGAACCATCCCTCTAATAGATTTGAGTTTATTACCCAGCCATTTTCCTAATGCAGTCCAAGTGCCTCGTTCTGATGAATGCGAGCGGTGCTTAGTAGACGAGCATCTCAGGGTCTGATTGTGACCATCCAGCACATGCATAAATCTTTCTTGTTCCTCCAAAGTCTGTGAGCATGCAAATGTCCTCCCAATTTGGGCAGATGAATTAGGGCATGCAAATATTTGCAGTTACCAAGTGTTTCAAGGGGAAAGGAGAGATGTCTGGGA